AGAATGAATCCCACATGTCCACATGTCCACAAGACAAATGATGGGACCATATGATACAACAATCAAGGATTTGATTTTGAAACACAAATTTCCTTAGTAATTTAATTCACATGACCACAAGAGCTCTAACCACATGACCGAATCTAATTGAATATTTAACAAATATGTAACTAGGGTTAAGAAATTCATCTAAAATACAAAATAAAGCTTTGATTTCCAAATGCATGTGAAATTCTACTCAAAACTTTCTCCTTATGACAAATCTTATCAAAAATCAACCCAGCTTTGATTTCCAAATTGCTTTTCAGCGCATTTCGAGTCAACACATACCTTTTTCTTCTTTGATTCTGTCAATGTCTTCGGCCTCTGGTCTTCAAAATCATCGTCCGCCATTTTCTTCGCACTCTTCTTCTGCTCGTGCTCTATCGGACCATAATCGTATTAGCCGTGTTAGATTTCTGTGTGTTTTTATGGTAAATGCTTTAGGGCAGGATTTAGAAGGCGGTGTAGATTAGAGGGAGGGTATTTTTGGGATGGCGACGGAAATTAAGTCCTATTTGGGGGATTTAAGTTTTGGAATCCTATTTAGGTATATTTGATAAGTTTTAGTCCTATTTCGGTTTTTTTTCCCAATATTTTACGGAGTATTTTATCATATAGGCCATGAAAAAACACAAATAAATACAAATTCCCGTGAAGTTGGAATAGTGCTCTGGGAAGAAAGTTTTAGGACGGGGAGAGTACATTACAAATTGCGTTACTAAGAAAAAAAATTTTATCTTTTGAAATCATTTTATTTACAAATTGGTATATCAATAAGATATACTCCGTAAAAATTATATATTAAAAAACTACATCAAAAGTTCTACAAAACAAAAAGTGACAAGAATATTTTAATTTATCAAACACTTAATGAAATCGCGTTAACAAACAAAAGTTATCGAGAGAAGAGAAAAAAAATTGTAATCTATTTAGCAATGGAGGGAGTATATTATATACATGCATATTTGTTTCGCCAAACGTCAATTTTAAAGAAAAAATAAAATAAATATTGTGACACTTTAATTATTACTAATCTATTACTACATCCATTCCATAAAATCTTTCTTATTTCTTTTTTCATCTGTCTTAAAAAAACTTTTTTATTTCTATTAAAAAGTCACTTTTTATCCATATGAATTCTTAACATACCTATCACATCACACGTTTCACAATTAATCTATTCATCACATCTACTTTTACATATCACATCAAAAGATATTTTTAGAAAATCAACACCAAGATACACTCCTCTTAAATCTCTTAAAGTTAAAAATAAGAAATGTTATGTGGGACGGAGAGAGTATTACTTTGTAGTATGTTATTTACTATTTAAAATTTGCTCTTATTTTATAAGGAAAATAAAAGAACAATTTCCATCTTCCTTTATTAACTTAGCACTTTATTTTCCATATTCTAATTTCTTTAATTTCCATCCTTATATTTTATCTTCCAAACATAGGATAAGTGTGTAGTTGTAGACTTTTTCTTTTGTTTTCTACTCTCTCCGTTCCATAAAATCTTTCCACTTTCATTTTTTTAATTCCATAAAACACTTCCACTTCCTATTAAAAAACCATTTTTACCCCTATCTTTTCATACCCTACCTATCACATCATACTTTTTCACTAATAACCAAACTATCATATCTTATTTTTACACATCACATCAGGGACAAAATTAAAAATAATCAACCAAATTTATACTTTTCTTATTTTTGCCCAAAGTCAAAATGGGAAGAGTTTAAAGGAACAGAGGGAGTAGTACATTATCATATCACATTATCACACTTCAAAACTCAATTGAACCAAGTTTTACAAATTAAAATTAATGTTCACATTGGAGCAAAAATAAATATCTCTTGCATGTAAAAGACATGTTAGAGTATAAAAATATTTTTTAGACTACAACCATAATATTAATCTTTTTATTGAGTTGATTCTTTGTCATGATGTTATAGATTAATTTAATTCAAGGTCAAAAATTTGAACACTAAACTGTAGTAGGAGAGTGTTGAAAAATACTCCGATCCTTCCGTGTTAATAAATCCTTCATCTTTCATTTTTTTCATTTCTCCAAAACACATTTACTTTCTATTAAAAAACGCTTGTACCCTTACCTTTTCATACACTACCTATGACATCAAACTTTTTCACTAATAATATAATTATCACATCATGACCAAAATTAAAAAATCAACCATAAATATACTTTCTTTATTTTGGCTAAAAGTCAAAAGAGGAAGAGCTTATTGAAACGGAGAAAGTAAATTTTTTTTATTCGTGTTAGACAATAATAATAGTATTACTTATGATAATATTGGTTATGGTGTTATTTGATTGTTAGTCAATTTTTTATTTTTTTTATGGTAGATGTAGTATTTAGTGAGTTTTATTTTCTATTTCTAGTTATATTAGGAATCCCTCTTATATAGCATATCATGTACGGAGTATTTCATAATTTAACGAGTAATATTATTCTAATATTTCAACAAGTAGAAAATGATAAGCTCGAATTTTTGGTTGACTTGATTTATCCCTTAACAAAAAATGTACTCCCTCCGTTTGGAAAAACCCTCCCATTTGATTTGGGGGCAAAAATAAGGAAGTGTTAAATTATACGGAGTAGTTGATTTCCAATTTTGCCCCTGATGTGATGGGTAAAAGGAAGATGTGATGGGTAGATTATTAGAGAAAAAGTATGATGTGATAGGTAGGGTATGAAAAAGTAAGGGTAAAAGTGATTTTTTAATAGAAAGGGGAAGTGTTTTGTTGGAAGTGGAAAAAATGAAAAAGGAAGTGTTTTTGAGAACGGATGGAGTATTATTGTCAAAGTCATTAGAATAATAGTCCGTTATTGATTATTATCACATATTTAATTTAATTTAATTTCTTAAAATGAAAAAAGCAAAACAAAAAAACTAATTTTGAAAAACTAAAAAAGGTGAAGCATATATATATTCAGGGACGATGAGAATATAATGATATTAAATGATAATTAATGAGAAATTATGACGTGAATAATTGTTAGTGCATATATGCATGTGCGTGGTGGATTTTGGAAGAGACGATTGGGGTCAAAGATATGAGCGAGCATCCGACGGTGGAAGAAGAAGATGAGCTTCAAAAGATCGAATTAATGGCGTTATATTAACTAATGTCACTTAGCCTAGCTAGCTACTTATTGCATGTGGTGTGAAAACACGCAGAGATTGACGATGATGACGACCATTACTAATTAATGCCATCTTTCATTTTTTTAATTATCGATATTATAAACAGATAATAGAATCGATATCGTACAGAAAATATCAAGAGCTATTTATTACTCCATCCGTCCAAAAAGATTGATACATATTAACTTTTTGGAAAATTAAGGGAGGAATATTTTGGTGTTGACTTTCCAAAAATATCATTGATGTAATGGGTAAAAGTAGGATGTGATGGGTAGATTATTAGAAAAAAAATATGATGTGATAGGTAGGGTATGAAAAAGTAAGGGATAAAAGTGGTTTTTTAATAGAAATGTAACGTACTTTACGGGACACAGTTTTTTCTAAACGTAACAAACTTTTTGGGACGGAGGGAGTATCTATTACGTGAAATTTACACTAGATAATACTAAAAAATATATTAGAAATCATCCTAAATAGGACTAAAACATAGAGAAAAGTACCAAAATAGAACTTTCATGTTTTTTTCCCGGAATAGGACTTTGCACTGTGGTAATGTGACTTTGCATTGTGGTAATGTGGCAGTGTACATGTGCAAATTACTATACTTTTTTGGTAATGTATATGATCATGTTTGGTAATGTAAGTCCTATTTTGGGAATAAAAACATGGAAGTCTTATTTTGGTATATTTTCAATGTTTTAGTCCTACTTTGGTCTTTCTCCCAAAATATATATTTTTCTCAATGTAATATTTGAATTTTTTTATTCTCTAAATAATACTTGAATAATATCTAGTGACAGAAACAATTTCCAGTGACGTTGAACATTACTTGAATAATAACTAATGAATATTAAACAACCATATGGTATTAAATTATGAAAGTCACAAGGTTTTAGTACTATATATTTAGGATTATGCTATGTGTACCCCAAGATATATACCCCAATTTGTACCCCGCAGTTTTGCACCAGCATTTTGTGTTGGTGTAAAACTAATTTTGTTTTAACGCACCAACATTTGTGTTCGTGTAAATTTTTGTTAACGCACCAACACTTGTGTCGGTGTAAACCATCAAAATGTTTGTGCAAAACTGTGGTGTACAAATGTGGTATATATTTTGGTGTAAGTGTAGCATGGTCCATTTATTTAAGCAGGTAAATCCGGATCCACCACTCCGATCCTATTTCCCTCTACGAATTGACAAATTGAGATGCCTATCTCACCACTTGAACTTGATTGTGATCCCTTAGCATTCGTTCTACACATTTTGACTAATAATAAATACTCCCTCCGTCCCAAAAAAATTTACACCTTTCAAAAAAATTAAGTCTCACAATCTCCTACCATTTCTATTAAAAAACCACTTTTACCCCTTACTTTTTCAAACACTACCTATCACATCATACCTTTTTCCTAATAATCTACATATCACATCCTACTTTACCCATCACATCAAGGGTATTTTTGGAAAGTCAACACAAAATTATCCCTCTCTTAATTTCAACTTTAGTCAAAACATGTAAATCTTTTTGGGACGGAGGTAGTATAAGTTTAAATAAATAAATATTACAAAGATTTGAGTTAGTCTAAATATATTAAATTTATATTACAACTAAGTATTCCCTCCATCCCGGAGTATTCGTCCAGTTTTGACTTTTGGTACTGTTCATCCAAGAACTTTGACTCATCAAATTCTCTCAATGTGTAAACCTAAATATAGTCATGTGTGATCTTGTTTGATTTGTCTTAACATATACTCCGTAGATTATTAATATATAATTTCTATAATTTTTCAATATACAAATTACAAGATAAAATGGATTAAAGAAGTGTATTGGATGGTGTGTAAAAATGAAAGTGGACAAATACTCTGGACGAAAGTAATATATTTTTTTTCACATTTAGAGTTAGTTTGAACTCTCTCGGTATTATTATACTCCGTAAATTGTCTATTTCGATTTACAATATGCGTCATGCCAAATCATTTTATTAAAATTAATTTCTGAAACTGTTGGGGACAAATTTAGGAAAGTGGCAACAGCTGTGGCAGAGACAGACGCGTGTAGGGTGGTACGTCAATGATAGTGCATGTAATCTGACATTATAAATAATAATTGTTGAATAAAAAAATATACTCCGTACTATTCTTTACGTACGTACGGCATAGCTAGCTAGCGAGATGGAGGAGTTTTTATAACTTCGTGGAAACTGCATGAGAATGCATG